CACATCTATCCTTTAGGAGCCCTCACAAACATTTCTGCATTTCACTGAGGAAAAGGGCAAGGGCCTTTCAATGATGTTTTTGGTATGAATCATTATAGGGCTTGGTACTAAGTGACACTGTTTCCAACAGGCCATTTCCTCATATTTTCCTAACATGTAAAATCTATAAACTGCGGTATTTGGAGGTGACTTTAAAATCATATGAAACAAAATGGAAATATTAAAATGTTGACAATCTAGAGAGAGGAAAAATAGTTTTATCATTAAAAGAGAGGTTGGACATCTTTAGGTGTAAATTGATTGTTAACTTTACTTTGAAAGGAAAGGAAGATTATGGGAAAATGTGTAACCCTCTAGAATGCCCTTGTATCATAGGACTCTGTGTAATTGACTTCCAGTCAAACAGGGTAACACTTTCTTTATATACGTCTGGTGGGGTTGCGGGGGGGAGAGGAGCAGGGAAGGGAACAGACCAAAGCTCATTCTTTTTTCTGGCTTAACACCTGATGAGAAGAAATGTTAGTCATCTTCATCCTCCAAGGAGCCTTTTTAAGAAATATTAGTTCACATTAAATCAAGTACTTGATCAAAAGTTAATGAAACCAGGTGAAAAAGAATAAATCTTCTCAGACACAATAGAAAGAGACTGGAACTATTCAATTCTACTGATATAATAGAGAATTAAAAAAGCTAAAAAGATATATTCTGGATAGGTATTTAGGATTTAAATTGTGATTAGAGCCCTGGGAAACATGACTTACGGGGGAAGGCTAAAAGGATTAGGACTGTTTAGTTGGGAAAGAAGAAAACTTGAGGATCAAGGTAGACATATTTCTGTGGCTGTGGGCATGGGACTAGAAGCAAATGCCCTCAGCCTGCAAGCAGAAGAAATTTAAGTTGGCAATTAGCAAGAACTTTCTGACAGTGAGGCTGGTCGGGTATCTCTAATACTAGAACATACATGCGCATGCTGTACAGATGCCGCAAGTGGCTTAAAACATGCCTTGTACCACTTACTCGCCTACAGAAATGTCCTTTGTTTCACTGCCCTGTGAATTTTCTATACACAGTTATGAGATTTAAATAATATACCTCCCACCCACTCGAGACTTACCAATTTGGTTTGTGGAATCAACCAACCAGTTAGACACAACTTAAACTCTCTGAAGTATATATCTAAATGGATAGAATTTAACCGTTCTACTTAAGTGAAAAATAAACATAAAGCTAAAAAGGAACCCAATTTGACCTAAGGCTTTCTTGGGGGTCCTAAATGTTCCCTTTGATGTCTATAATTAAGAAATCCTTGGTTTATGGCAAATCATAGAGTTTTTGAAATGTTTGAAAAAGTATTGCCAAAAGTCTTGTAATTTTTTTTTGTTTGTTTCTTTCAATGAGGTCAGGTGGAAGGAAGAGTTCTCCAAGCTTTTGGAAAATATTTATTTTTAAGAAACAAGTTTTAAGAAAAAGAAACTTGCATAAAAAGTCAACAACTTCTACTGAACATACAACAGAACATACAAAATCTGTTATCTATGAACAAAACTCTAACTTTCTTCAGGCAGTGTTTTTAGATGCATATTTTATCTCAAACTTCTGATTGTACCCAGATCAAAAAATCTGCTAAAAGTTCAGTGCATCTCACAGCTTCCTTGTCTAATCTCAGCAGCTTTTTATGCAATGATATCTCTTGTAACCAAGACATCTACAAATAAAATCTTTTTCTTGAAAATATCAGTGTTATGCTGTAGGAATTTTGTTGATTTCAAGGGAGCAGTGCTGAAATTGAGGACACCAGAAGTAAAGGCTATATTTAGAATGGCTTCTTGCTCGTAGAATGAGAATTCAGAGTCTTTACTGAGTGGTAATCTGATCTTTCATGGAAGGGTCCTATGGACATAATTTTCATGGGAATGTAGGAGCTTGTAAGCACCAACAGCAAGATTATTCATAAAGAGGAAAATGACAGTTTATTGTAGAGGAGCCAGCTTGTTTTGGGTATTTTGCTAAGGCATTAGGAAATATTTGGAAGAAAGTCCTTTGATCTCTAATAACTAAATAGATGTTTAGGTAATTTCTTGGAAGTTTTTAATGCAATCTCTTATAAAGATAATTTCACAAAGGTACTTATATGTTCTTGGACCAAATTGACAGCTGCTTCTGTGAAGGATCAGATACTCCATCAGTAGACAATACTGTAATATCCAGTAGGGCTGTGCAAAGCTTCAGTCCCTGCTTCGATTCAGCAGAGATTCAGCCTGATTTGGTGGATGAATCTCCAAATCTGAACTGAATCAGAGGACCCTTTAATCTCTCTGAATCAAATCAGAACCCTCTGAATCAATTTGGAGAGATTCGGAAATACTCAGAGATTCGGACATAGACGCAGCTTTAAATGTTTTCTCTACATATCTACATAGGTGGCAGGGGCTCATAAGTGCTGTGATACTGGGGAGCATGGGGGGCTCCCCAGTGCACTCGGCAGCAGACCTGGAAGTGGACCAGAAGCACTTCCGGGTCCGCCAGGGAGCTTGCAGGGTGCCCCCACAGCTTGGTGATTTGTGCCTCCTGGGTCTGGGGGGGCAACGTGGGGTCCCCCTGTGGCCAATTTATCAAGCCGGGGAGGCACGGGGGGGGGGGCCAGCGTGCTATTGGGCAGACCCAGAAGTGGACTGGAAGTACTTCTAGTCCATTTCCAGGTTTGCTGCTGAGCATGTGGAGGACCCCCCCCCCAATCCTGTGGGTTTCTCCATGCACCCCAGCATCGCAGAGATCACAAGCCATGCTAGTACCTCAAGGTACGTAAAAAAAACAAAAAAACAAAAAAACCCACGTTTAAAATTGCATCTGTGTCCGAATCACTGATTCTCTGAATCACCATCAAATCTTCAGATTCGGCCAAATTGAATCAGGGGCAGTGATCTAAATCAACTAATCGAATCGCTATCCCTAATTTGGGCCAGATGTGAATTGAATAGGGCCTGCTTCGCACACCCCTAATATCCAGCCCAAAATATGTAAGGCAGTCTGATAAACTTAGCATCTGTGGATTTTATTTTGTAGCTTTGTAATTTTAAAAATATCTTTCCTCTAAATTATTTTTTCTTTAATTTATATTATTGGTGATTAATTCTACCTATCTGCTATGAGCCTGTGCCATACAGCATGCATTTTTCTTGTAAATTGTGATTTGACAGGTTTAGTAATATGTATAGACTCCCCTAGCGTCCTTTTAATAACCTTATATACTGCTGTAGGCTTTTGGTGGAGGTACAGTGTTATATTGTGATTTTTGCCTAAGTAAAAAGTGGTCCAGTGTTTTCCAGATCTGCAGCAAAAAAGGTCATTGGACAGGAAGTCCTACTTTTTGACTGGTTCTGAATTCTCCTTCCTACCCATAACTGAAAATGGGTCATGTAACTCAAAATACTGCACAGAAACCCAGTTTACTAGTAGGAAATATTTGCTGTTGATTTTTCCTTTCATGTCATGAAAGTGGAAGCTAAGGAAGATTGTGAATTTTGAAGTATGATTTAAAAATATAGCTTTTAGACTGTTTCATAAGATGAAAAATACTTGTTTTGGAGTTAGGATTAGATTATTTTACAGGTTTGCTGGCAGGGAGTATCTGCACAAGCAGGGGGCTTTTTTGTTTATTTTTGTTTTTGTGGGTTTTTAACCTTTAAATTGAAAGAGCAAGCCAGCTTGAATTAAAACATAGTGAGATGAAGTTCTCTGAAAAACTGCTATTTTGATTAAATAAGTGTATTCCTCTGATCTTTCTAGCACTTAATCAAGCTGTTAATGTATAAAAGTACAGTGTAGCTGAGTATGAGAAATGAATATTACTTATTTGGGAATGTTATTTTTAATAAAAACTAGAGGAAGGGTTATGGTTATATGATCATCCATATATAAAAGTAGCAAGGTCACCTTGTTCTTTGCAGTTGATTTCACTTGCATTAAGAAAGGCAATATTCTTCAGCTCATTCTGAAAGCTGCAAACCATTTTGTTTTACAGGTGGACATTGTGTCGTAATTCCTTAGAAAATAAAGACAGCTAAAGCTAGAAGGAACAACTAGAGCCATGAAACTATTACAGTACAAATTGTAGACATCTGCTGGATCACAGCGTTAGTAAACAAAGTGTGCTATATGTGCTGTAGGCAGGATTTTTCTTTAATAATATTTAAAACACACACAATATATGACTATACACACCAAATATTTATAGCAGGGGATTTCAGCATGCTTATTAGGCAAACTGGCCATGTGCCTTTTACTTTGTAGGGTCTGAAAATGAATAGAGACATTCATTACCGATATGTAAAGGAGTATAAATTACACATTCATAAGTGACCTAGAAGATGTGAACATAATTGACTCAAAGCTTATATACCTTACAAACTGAGAATCGGGGAAAAGTTGTAAATTAAAGTAGAGGCCTTAACTTATATTTTCTCACACCTTTCAGTTGGTTATTTTTTCTATTGCTTTCCTGTCTTCTGAGTCTTTTGCTTGTGACTTAACATCTTAAATGCCTCTGACTTTGTTCTATAAATTATCTGAAATAAACATTTGGAAGTGAGAGACCATACCTGATTTGATTTTGTTTTGTTTTTTAACTTTGTGTTTTCAGAGGGCATTGCACTCTTGATATTGCTGTTAAAGTGTTTTGATTGGGAAGCCTTGCTCTTGGAAGGATCAGAAAGAATAGTTAATCTGGTTAAGAGGAATGCTGTAGAAACACAGTTGAGGAGATCTATAAACGCTTTTCACCATGAAAATCTTTTCATGCCAGGACATCATTAAAAATAAATAACCTCACATGTTCTACAATATCACTACTTTATCTTAAAACTCTAGTGATCCAGCTTCTAACTCAGCCAGTCTATTGTGACTTGTGAATATATGAAATGTTGGAGAAAACTCAAAAGCACCTCTGCATTTTATGGAAATAATTTAAGAAAATAAGTGCTTTGCATTTATATTTCTTCCAGGAAACCTGAAAAAGGAGTCCAGTACCTAATTGAGCGGGGGTTTGTACCGGACACTCCAGTTGGTGTTGCTCACTTTCTCTTGCAAAGGAAAGGACTCAGCAGACAGATGATTGGAGAGTTTCTGGGCAATCGACAGAAGCAATTCAACCGAGACGTATTAGAGTGAGTACTGTATGAGAGGATGGTGTGATTCATATTTAGTAAATGAATTGATATTCAAGTGGGCTGTATAGGACACTTCTAGGAGCTGATGTTCAGCTAATAATTTGGGCATAAAATAAAGGCCCTATCAATGTAGAAAAAAAGCACTGTACCATGAGGATTAACAAAAGAAAATCATGCACAAACAAATCCTTTCCATTATTTTCCAAAATGCTACCATTTCTCAGTGAAATTGAAGCAACAGGATGCTTATAAAGATTTATATACTCTATAGGAGTCCACATTTACTCTAACTTTATGGCATAATTTTATTGGCAACAATACTGTCATTTAATTTTGGACTTTTTTTCCTTCCACAAGCTCTAAAATAATTTACAGCATAAAATAAAATAACATTATGTGCTGCATAAGACTTCATAAGTAATGGAACATGAAAATAACCATCACTGTTTCAGAAAAAAGTAACTCACCTAGTAGAGGTACAAGGATTTTAATGTGGGCTGATGTGGGCACTTTTCTCAATGTGGATCTGTGGGAATCTCTAATCAGACTTTTTTTTTTACCCCCAAAAGCAAGACAAAAGTAAAATGGTTAGATCAAGTCACTGACACTTTGGAAAAGACATTCAAATACTATATGTTAAGGGTAGAGTGAGGAGGGAGGTTGTTTTCATTTACTTGAAATGATTTTATGTTTCATTTAGTGGAGATTCTTTTTAACAGGCCATGTGAGCACACTAGATGCATAAAGATATGTTCCCACTGTGAAAAACAATTCTAACTGCACATTTTTTACCAAAATTTCTGAGACTTGATATCTAGCCCATACTTTATTGGGTTTGGGGTGGATGGGAGATTTATAAACCTAAAAGTTATTACAAATCATTTTTTAAGCAAAGCTTAGAACCATCCCCTTTGAAATCAAGGGACGATTTCCCACTGACTTTGAGGGAGGTGGATCAAACCCCAAGAGCCCCCAGTAAGTGTTACTAACTCCTGTAACTTTTTCACAAGTCTTATGCTTCATGTTCCTCTTAACACACACAGGGCCTATCACAGGGGGGGCCAGGAGGACCATTTGGCCTGGGCCTCTCATTCACGGAGGGCCTCAAATTTAGACTTTTGACATTATCTCCAAATGAGTCTATACATATAGACACAGAGATACACTGACAGGATTGAAAGAAGAAGACGTTCATCATACAACTTTAAACTTGTGTCCCATTACTGGGCCACACTGCCTGCAGTGCACTATGAATTAGTATTTTTTTAATATACTGGGAGCCTCAAAAATGGAAGTGGCCCGGGCCCCTCTCAACCTCTGAGAGGGCCTGAACGCACAGGCCCCAGAGCCATGTAACCACGTGAAAAGAAGATTGGGGGGTGGGGTGGGGAGAGGAGATGAGTAAATATTTAGGTCTTATGCAATGAAAATGTGAATACAAGGGCTCAGAACCCAGAAGTTATGTTATGTCTGATGTATTTTTTTAGAATATGATTATCTTCGAACACATTTTGGGTTTTATGGGGTTTTTTTGATGCCCGTAAGGCCACCTTGACATTTGTAGAGATTTGGGTTGGCAGTTCAGCCCCTTTGATAAGATTGTTCGCTTAAACATCTGGGGCCATCAAATCGCACAAAAACTTGCACCAGGATCTGTAGTACCTAATGGTTATCCTGTCTTAGATTCCTCCTTACCACCTGCCTAAATGAATCATGAATTCCAAAGACTAATGAGGATCATTTAAATGATAATGTCATTCTCTGACAGTTTCTTCTTTTATCTATACTGTGAAAATTCAGTGCACCATGACAATGCACAATTGAAAGGACCAGAATGAAGGCAAAAGTAAAATCTTGTGCCAGCTTTTCATTAGATGATGTTGCCTACCTGTAGCATTGTTTTCTTTTTAAATATGCAGATTCAAATGTTACCATGTATAGCTTATGTACAAGAAATAATGTTAGAAGTGTTCCTGATGGAAGTTTTGTTTCTTTACTATGCCAGTTGAACAGTGTATTGATGTCATTATTTGCATTTATACACATGGCAGAGATCTTTGTTTAGACTGGTCTTCTATTTGTAAACTGTCTTGTCTAGAATACAGACAACTAGAGAATTAACTGAACAGACTCCACACAAATGCGTGCAATAAATTTAGGGACAGACTCTAACAAATCTTGTATACATCTCAGTGGGACTTATGTGCCAAAGTCACAAAGAACACTTCTAATTGACCCCACATACTGGCCACAAAATCATTTTAGTAGCTAGATTCATTAGGTCTCTTCATTTTGGCCTGATAAAATCCCTAGGCACCTACATACATGCTCAGATATGGACCAAATCAGACATCTAAATGCCTTACTTCCACCTAGTCTTTGTTGTGATCCAGATCAGTGCCAGAAGCTTCATGGACACCACCTATGTTCTTGTCCTTAGGCAGAAACAGATGATGATAAGCCCCTTTTGCAGCTGGGAGCATGCTTGCAGTTCAGTACAAAACACAGGCAGAGGAGGGAATGCCTGTGGTGCCCACCCTTTGCCCGGTGGCAGATGGCAAGAGCAGTTCACCAAGGAGTGGAATATCTGAGTTGCAGGCCCTCCTCTTTCTGAGAGAATTTAAACACAACTCCCACTTCCCAGGAGAACACCCTAACCACTGGGGATATAGGCTAGGCCAGGTCCGTGAATTCTTCATCCCTCCCTTTCAATCTCTGTCACTCACAAAATTCATTGGAGTAGGGAGTGAGGACATACAAGAGGCCGTGCTGCAATAGCCAAGGAGCTTAGGTTTATATGTAAGAGAGGAGTTCTGTGTTTGAATCCCTGCATCCCATTCAAGGGTATTTTCTGGTGCATTTTTTTCCCCAGCCAATGACTGTTTAATGTAAAATGCATATTCAATCCACCCAGTAGCCTGGTAGTTGGGGTATTTTCCCAAGAGTTGAAAAATGTGGCTTCGAATCTCTCAGGTTAGGAGGTTAAGGGGAAGGTTAGGTACCCAACTTCCTGAGTAGATTGAAATGTACAACCTGTCAGGAGCATACACTTACCACTATGTTATAGGGTAGGCCAAGCTGGGAGTATTCATCATGCTTGAAGTTAAGTATTAAATAGTGTCTCCTCTCTCTCCGTCACATGAAGAAGTGCCTTCTCTGAGGAGGAGCTGGAGCTGAGATATACCTCTGCATCTAGCATTTCGTAATAGCTAGCTATAGACACATTCCTACTGAGTGACTAGGTTCTGGTTTGCATTAGGAGACACAAGAGTCTCCTTATTTCTGATCACCCTGACAAGTAGGGTGCACAGCATCTAGATTTTCATGTTGCATTGTCAAGGTGCCTCAGAGATTAAGGCTGTGCCCTTAGTTCATTTCCAGAGTGAAGTTCCAGTAGTCTACCCTCCTACAGCAAGCCACAGAAGGGGCAGAATTTAATTCAAAGGTATGCATATAAAGTCTGGCTAGTTACTTCAACGATTTGCCACAACTGACAGTTAAGGGTGAAGATTTTCCAAGGCATGTATAGTAGTTAGCTAATGATTAAAACAAAGTGGTGAGCCAGGGAGGGTGCAGTTTTAATAGGGCTGTCAATTAATTGCAGTTAATGTGCGCAGTTAACACGTTAATTGGTTCTTGCATTAATTTTTTTAACATGTTAATTGTGCATGTGATTTTGGAGCCTGTGCCCAGGTTCCACTCTGCCGCCTACAGGCTGCCCAGTGGGGTAGGAGTGGCAGCGCACAGGATTGCAGGGCAACCCGGGCATGGGCTCTGGGCAGCTGCAGCAGGATG